AGGCTGTGGTACGAGCAAAAGTTACCCAGAACTGTTTTGACTGCCCCATCCCTGCAAGCGTTTAAGGCCAGGCTGGGGAGGACTTGGAACAACCTGGAGTAGTGGAAGGTGTCTCTGCCCCTGGCATGCAAGTCAAAATGAGATGATCTTGAAGGCTTTAATATCCCATCAAAACCAACCCATTCTGTGATTCTGTGACAGGTGGGAAAATCTCCTGAGCCTTTTCCATCAAGAATGTCAGGCTTTTTGTCGGGGACAGGCATTGTCAAACAGAGTAACCGTTCCCCTATTATACAGATTGGTCAATCTGTTCTCCAGATCCCCCAGCTTGAGTTTGTAAACCCTGTTCTTGTTGTTCTCAGCGATGGCCCCCCAAGCCCTTGTGGGATTTGCACCCACCAGGCAGCAGGCAGCTGACCAGATGTAGCTGGGTACGTTAACCCTTCCATTGGCGACCTTGGTGTTCCCAGGCACAGCACCCATGATGACACAGGTTTTCTACAGCCCTTTGTCCTTACAGGCATTGTTCTAGACTCAGAGGTGCTCCACTGGCCAGTGTTGAGTCTGCTGTCCTGGGGCACTATGTTGGTGAGGGTGAAGGTTGCTGTCTTGTTTGTTTTACTATTCATATGGCCATTGGGGCACATATGACCACGGTCCAAACCAGTCATTTGTTTGTAGTCTTCAAGGACAGCCTGGCTTGCTTTGATTTTGTCTACGGTGAATTTGTATTGATGTATGAGGACCAACTCTCTTTCCATCTCCCTAAGATTATTGTCACTTATCAGCTAGACAGGGAAAGAGAAAGAGGTGTTAGAATGGAGAATGGGAGTAATGGAGATTTCCCTGGAGCAGAAGTCCCTGATGGTCAATATCCCATTTTTTCTCATCTCAGTGCAGGAAAATGCATCAATCTAAGAGAAATCACAGACATGCCCCTCCTGCATGAGCATTAATTCTTTATAGAGAAAGCAGCTCAGAATGTGACTGCTCTCATTTTGACTTGTGAACTTTATTATCCAGCCTTCAGCCTGTGCTGAGAGCATGGATGGATGCATGAGACAAGGAGCATTTCCCACTCCTAGGATTGAAAAGTGACTTTTGATGAGACACCTTCCATGACAAATCTGCTTCTCTTTCCTCCAGTCTCCACAAAACAAATCTGCCCAGGGCTCTCCCTTGATCCCCTCACACCATGCTGTGATTCTGTGATGCTGTGATTTTATGTGTGGTTGCTACAGATGTACCCCAATCCTCAAACACCAGAGGTTGCCTCCTCTAAACCACATACACAGGGAGATGTGACAGGAAATCAGTTCTGGAGCTGAGGTTTCCCTGGGAGGGCTGCAGTTTGTTCAAGGATGAACATATTTTCTCAGTAAGCCAAAAGATCTCAATATAAATGGAATCCGTTCCAGCAGTGCTAAGAATGTGTCTGAGAGCTGATCTGGGCCAGGGAGCATTTTCTGCAGCATCACTGAAAAGAAGTTACAAATGATCAGCCTCTGAAAGGGCTCTGTAAGCTCAACAGAGTCCTGGTGATGTTAACAAAATCAAAGATTTTTTTTGGTGGCCTGGGTTCAAGATCCAGGATGAAAATGCCAAGTTGGATAGGGCTTGGAGCATGATAGTCTAGTGGCAAGTGGCCTGGCCCATGCAGGGGTGTTGGATTGAGATGATCTTTAAGGTTCCTTCCAACACAAACTGTTCTATGATTCTACAAAAAGAGAGAATGTGAAGGCTACTGTGCAGAAAGATAAGAATTGTTGTTCAAGTTCCTATGGGTCATAAAATGAAAATATTACTTTTTCATTACATCAACATCTTTTTGTTCATCTGTAGGGAAGCGTATTTAGCCATCCTCTGGAGTAGGGCGTGTGGTTCCCTTCTCTGGTTATTCTTCCCCCAAATGCCATCCTGCGGCTCTGTCCTTTGCAATGACAGGAATTGCCTCTTTTTCTCTTCTGCAATTTGCCTGGCCTGTTCTACTAAAGTGTATCTGAAGGACATTTGTGAGGGCTCTACAGCTTTGGCGTTCTGTCTGTCTGCTGGATCCTTCTGGATCAAGCCTGAGCCAAAGGTGCTCAGGGGTCACTGCCCATGCATGGAGATCACACCCTTCTGATTGGAGTCACACTGATGCTCCTCACTTTTCAATGCCTGAAACATCACTCCAGAAATCCCTCCACAATTAAGCTGACCCTCTCATCTCCAGTGCCTTTCCCTACAAGGTTTTGTCCCTGGGCCATCTCACCCCCTTCTGCGTTTCTCCTCACTTCTCTCACACCCCTCACCAAGCCTGTTTGACTCTTCACAGATAAGGCAGCAGATGAGCTCTGTCAGTGGTGCAGAACAGCTCAGGGCAATGTGGGGAGCAGATCCCAGCAGGACTGTTGTTCCCTCAAGTTTAGCCTTTCTTGGGTGCCTTTTCCCCATCACTTGGTCCCCCACCACAGCAGGGCACAGGGAGGGGAATCATTTGACTTTGTAATATAATGCAAAGTAATCTGATTTGCTATTTCTATGAGGTCAAGGCAGAAAACTGGGCACCTCTGGGATATGATAAATCTCATCGTCCTGCTGATGTCTCAGATGCATCAGAGGAACCACATGGTGCAGGTGTTTGAAGTTAAAGGAGAAAATTCCCATCCAGTGTGTCCATTTGCATGTGTGTAGTGGGGTGGTAGGAAATAGAAGTGGTACTTTAAGTACTGGAGCTCATCTCTGAGTGGGTGGAGGATGATGTGCTGTAAGAGAGACACTCACCTGGGGCTCAACATACCACCACTTACGAGGTCTCGTGGCATTTCCAGGGTCGTATTTGTAAGCAGAGTACACTGGAATTCTCCTGTTTCTGTCATACAGGGTGGCATAGTGATACGCGTCATCAAAACTCTGACATATCCTAGCTGCATTCTGTGGATGCAGGCCTTCACTTGGGATGAACTTCGCATAGAAAAACTGAGGACAAGAAGTTTCAAAGGATCTCACCACCTCACTGCATCCCAGCCAGAGGCAGCTCGCCAACACCTGCAGCAGCAGCAGCCCCAGCATCGTGGGAGGATTTCAGTGAAGGGCTCTTGCTCCCCTGCAAGGCAAATGAAGAGGGACACTCAGCTGGGAGAGAGCTGGGCATGGCTTGGAGGCTTTTTGTGCAGGGGGACAGAACTGGCAGAGGAGGGGATTATGAGAGACCAGGAAAGGAGTAATTTCTGTCCTCCTGGAGACGGAAAAATCATGAAGGAAATAAGAGGGAAATCTAAACCAGGGTTTAGGTGCCCAGAGGAGGAGGCAGCAGTGGGAGAATTCAACCTGGATGAGGAAGGAGCCAAACCCACCACGAGTGTAATCATCTCTCAGAGCAAAGTTATGTTGCAAGTGAGGCAGAGGCCTGGGACAAGGTCACCTTTTCCCACCTCCCTCCTGCTCTGAGCACCTCCCCACAGCAGACACCTGCAGCTGGGCATGGACTCTGCTCAGCCCCCTGCAATGCTGAGCTGGGCTTGAATCT